CCGTCCTGAGGCGTGTACGTTTACGCGGGACGATGCCGTCCCTGACGAGGTGACGATGCCCGGCCCGACGGGGTGACGATGCCTGACGAGGTCAGAAGACCGTTGGCCTGATGCGTTTTACGCGGGCGCGGTAGTGGTGGAAAGGTTGAGAATGAGTGGGATTTGGCAAGACAAGCGAGAGGATTGTGGAAAGTGACGCATGGTGTGAGTAGCGTGCGAGTGTGTTTGTATTGCGCGATGTGATGCTTAATTATGGGGTAGAAACTGCTAGGCACGGTATGGGACGTGCCCAAGTGGTTTCGTCTTATAATTAAGGCACGCGCGCGTCTGTGATTCCCTTCTTTGTGATGTGTTGGCTGTTATTGTCTAACGTGCGGGAACGTGCGTGATGGATTCCAAGTAGGGTCGCATGTGATTGTTAGTTTGGCCGATCGTTGTGTGTTATGTGTGTTTTCGTCTGGCGGTACGAGAGTGCCTACGTGGGGTTTGGGGTTGTACACTTATTGAGATTCGTCTCACGGTTGTATAATCGCCACTTTCAGACCCCCGGTCCTAAACCCGGGAAGTGCGCCTTTTCTTTTTGGAAGTCCGGGGAGCCGCTGTTGGTGCCCAGTGGAGCTGCAGGTGAGATCCAGAGATTCAAGCCAGAAATTCAGAAGCAGAATGGAAGAGGGCGACCCTTAGGTTTTTCCCTAGGTTGTTTTAGGGGTTGTATAACTTGGGTTATCCGATAGTGAAGTTAAGATAACCAAACCCCTGAACTTTTGTTTAAACGGTGACTGAGGATGTTAGTCTGTATTTATGTCTGTAATATGATGTTTGTATATTTGGTGTTGTATGAATATGTGGTTGCTGGATTGTTCTGTTGCTCTACCCCGTTGTCGTCATTATTTGTCCAGGGTTTTGTTATTCGCTTCCGCATGTGGCTTTGATGTTTAGGTTGGGTCGGCGACGTTCCTGGAACGTCGCAATATTTCGGCCGGAGCAGGGGATGTCGCGAGCTCGTTGGGGTTCGGGGCGTGACATTTTCCTATCTCGATTTGCAATTCAAGATAAAGAGACACTGAAGGTACATGTTATGTATTCTGTTTGGTTTAAATTGGGTTCGCAAAAACCAAGCTGGGCACGACCTTCATAGCTACTCTTTACATATGGACCCATAAATGCAGCAACATCTAATCTCATTTGATGATGCTTATGCACTATAATAATTGAAGTGCATCGGAGTAAAATCAGAATAAGGGAAGATGGAAAGCTTGAAGAGCCAGAAGGCAAGGATTAGAAGGAGAACATGGTCCAAGGATCAAAGTGCTTGGGAGCTAAGGGAAAATCCAATCCTTGGTTCATATTAGTAGAAAATTGCTCTTTATTGTCTATTAGATTCTAATATTTGCTGGACAAAAATTCTCCAAAAGCGACCTTGATCAACATTTACGTTTGAGTAACCATCCATCCTTTCACTAGGATAGCAATCAAAGCCGCTTGTAGAGAATATTTTCTCGACAAACGCTATTTATGACAATCCCTATAAATAAATAATATATATTCCTTTGCAGCAGTCATTATGTCAAGAGAAAGTATCAAGTAGTCATTTTTGGGAGGCATTTTATACTTAAACTAGAAATCATTGGATTCCAAATTCATGTTGGTTATTGCCCTTTTCCAACCTTCTGACCTTGTGTTCTAATTTACGCAAATAGCTATGAACACTTGAAGGAAGATAACATATCCTGTGGTTTCTGCTGAAAGCAAATTAACTTGGGAAAAGGTTGGACAGTGAGGCGCAGATGTAGAATGGGTGACAATCATCATGGAGATATGCCATGGAAAAGATGCTCGAAAGGGCTCACTGGACATTTAGACTATTTGGTCCGACCTGCACAAAGGGAAATAAGGATAATTCCGATGAGATTGTGACTAATTCAGAAGAAAAGCCAAAAGTAAGTGCACTTTCAATTGACTCATAACAGCTGAATAAAGGAGACACGAATTGCTTTACTGATGTATCCTCAAGTGAATCTTCCAATGTTCATCTCAATCAACCTAAATGAGGTTATCGCTTCCGGCATGGCTGAAGATGGAGACTTTGAACACAACACCGTCCCTACCAAAAAGTTCAAACGTGTAGACATCTTATGCAGACAAGTTTCTCTTGCAAACGTGGGCCAACCGCTAGAGATGTTTGCTGCAAAAAATTGTGTTGACAGGTCTTAAGCTGCCCCAGCCACGATTTGTCTGAATTCCTAAGAGTCACAATACGCCAGTTCTTCTGAATGTATCTCTTTATAAACTCACAAGCAACACTCTGTCGATGTAGACATTTTGTGAACCAATCTATCATGAGAAACACAATAAATACAAGCAAACACTAAAGAAAGAAAAAATGGCAGACGAAATTCATCCAATCTGCTGCTTCAAGCCCACCCTTCTTCGCAAATTGGTTTTTCATCTGCAGTGAGTTATCCTCATCGTTGATAATGAATTTGACTTGGATCGACCCAGAGCAGCCTTTGCTTCTACTACAGAAGCGATCGAGGACATCTGCTGAGGGAAGGTTGGTATGCTTTCTGCATTACATTATCGAGTGCATTTCAATTGTTCATCCATTAAGGTCTATGTCATGGTTGGAACTGAATTCCAGATTGTAGTGGTGGCAGACGATGAGGACAGTGAGAATGAGGGTGATCTTTTAATGGCAACACCTTAGGCTAAGGCATTTATTGTGAAGTATGGCGCTGGGATTGTTTGTGCGAAAATGAATCAGAGGGAGAATCAAGAGAAGCTTCGGACTGCATTCACCGTGACTGTGGTATATGTTGTAAGATGCTTAAATAGTTTCTTCAATCAGCTCCTCGTATCTTGTAACCGATGATAATTAATTAGATATTGTTATAGGATGCAAAGCTTGGGATAACTGCAGGCATATCAGTGCTTGACAGGGCAACGACAGCTTGGGCTCCTGCATCTTGCAGCGACTGCGAATCCTGTTGGAGGTCCACTCAGCTAGTGCCGACCCAAAAAGGCAAGACAATTTAGAAATCCCTATCAGAAAATCATCATGCCCTTCGCCCATGTTCAAGTTCTGCCTTGCTACTGTTGGCCTTACTAATTATGTCCCCTCACTTATCACTCCTATGTCTGCCAAAATTCAAAATGCACATTCCGTGTACGTACCGTGCACATATCGTGCACTTACCGTTCACATTTTCTAGGAGAACTTATGGTAAAGGGCTCCTCAATGTGTATATGCTCAAAGAAAATACCGTTAATTTAGTGATTTTGGTGTAGTTATTTCCAAAATACCTTTGAAGTTAAAAAAGAAAAGAAAGACAAATCACCTTCCTTTAACTTTAATTTTCTAGCCTTAGTTTTTCATCCAACAAAAATTGATGATAAATTAAAAAATAAAAAATATGCTACAAAATTAGGAAAAAAAAAAAGAAAGAAAAGAAATGAATACCTCATGAAAGGAGGTGAGCAAGCCGAGGTAGAGAGTAGGAGAGATCTCGACGATGTAGACAGGAGCAATGGTGAGGACATAGCCAACACCGATATTGGTGATGAGGCGGCTCAACATTAGGAAGAATGAGTGGGGCACAATGCCCATGAGGAGGGCCCCGACAAAGAAGAAGGCCGCTGCCAACACAATCTTGCAGCGACTGCGAATCCTGTTGGAGGTCCACCCAGCCAGTGCCGACTCGAAAAGGCAAGACAATTTAGAAATCCCTATCAGAAAATCATCATACTCTTCACCCATGTTCAAGTTCTACCTTGCTATTGTTGGCCTTACTAATTCTGTCCCCTCACTTATCACTCCTATGTCTGCCAAAATTCAAAATGCACATTCCGTGTACATACCGTGCATTTACCGTGCACATATCGCGCACTTACCGTTCACCTTTTCTAGGAGAACTTATGGTAAAGGACTCCTCAATGTGTATATGCTCAAAGAAAATACCGTTAATTTAGTGATTTTGGTGTAGTTATTTCCAAAATACCTTTGAAGTTAAAAAAGAAAAGAAAGACAAATCACCTTCCTTTAACTTTAATTTTCTAGCCTTAGTTTTTCATCCAACAAAAACTGATGATAAATTAAAAAATAAAAAATATGCTACAAAATTAGGAAAAAAAAAAGAAAGAAAAGAAATGAATACCTCAAGAAAGGAGGTGAGCAAGTCGTGGTAGAGAGTAGGAGAGATCTCGACGATGTAGACGGGAGCACTGGTGAGGACATAGCCAACACCGATATTGGTGATGAGGCGGCCCAACATTAGGAAGAATGAGTTGGGCACAATGCCCATGAGGAGGGCCCCGACAAAGAAGAAGGCCGCTGCCAACACAATCTTGTAGCGACTGCAAATCCTGTTGGAGGTCCACCCATCCAGTGCCAACCCGAAAAAGCAAGACAATTTAGAAATCCCTATCAGAAAATCATCATGCTCTTCGCCCATGTTCAAGTTCTGCCTTGCTACTGTTGGCCTTACTAATTCTACGTTAAATATATACCTAGCTTTCCATTAGTGATACCGAGTTATCTCATTTAGCTTAAATCATACATTAACCATGTTCGTATAAACTTTTAATTTATCACAATCACCATCACGAAGTAAAAAGAAAAGAAATAAAAATATCAACTCAGCATTTACATTAGATCTACATCACAGTTTTAATTTATTAACCATGTTCATATAAACTTTTAATTTATTGAGTGTTATATTATTATTTACGCCTCCCTTCCGGGTTCTTTTTATCTTTTCAGCACGTGATGAACCCCTGATACGAATGTTAAGAAAATGATAAAGCGTGTACTATTTAATAATTATAAAAAAATTACAAGAAATATCTTTCAAAGAAAATCAATTGAGAAAGGAAAAAGAGCCGCTGCTGTGTAACAGAGTTTGTGGGCTCGTCCTAGTGGGACGGGCTTGAAAGAAACTGGGCCGGTTCAGGCCCACAATTAGGCCCAGTGTGCTCCTTCTTTCTTTGCTCCTTCTACTTCAGCCGCCGTCGAGCTCCGCCACCACCGACCGACGGCGTTACGGTTTCCCCTCCGCTTCCGTGCTCGATCGCCTCCCCGTTGGGCCGGTCGCCGGAGATAGCTGCGAAGAACAATGAGCGGCGAGAACGGTGCGTGGCGGATCGTCCACGTCCCTGGCAGGCCGCCGGTTCCGCCTGATCAGCAACTCACAGGTTTCTTCTTCATAGACGACTGAACGAATCGTTTTGCGCTTCTCAATTGGCGTTTTGTTGTGTTCTTTTGCAAGCAGTGGACGTGGTAGCCGCTCAGATTGAGCAGCCGAAGCTCACGAACACTATCATAAGGTCAGTCTCGGTGTTGGGCTCTTATGTATTGAGCTCGTTCTGCGCTTCTGGTTTGATTTTTTGCGCTCAAATTTGGGAGTCTGAATTTTTTTTTTCGGGTACGGGTCAGGCGTTTGAGTCAAATTGCGCCATTGGAGGACCTCCATCACGTGAAGCGGGTGAAGAAGAAGTGTCTGGAAGGAGGTACATTCTGGGTTCATGAGCATAGCGGTGTCTCTTTTCGTTACTGGCGTGATTGGTCACTTGATGATAATCATATCTGAACACCATCGTTTCTCGCGTCTTTGGAATTGTGCAGCTGCTTAACTAGGTCTTTCTATTGCCTTTTGTTGCTGGATTACCCTTTAAAAGTTCTATAAAGATCATCGAAATATTGTTTCTCCGTGCCAAGGTCGTTTAACAGGAAATAATTGTATGTTGTTTATACTCACGCGTGTAGTTCTTGATCAGACATCAGTCCTGGGTACTTACTGCTTTTCAAGTAATAGAAAAGAGGGAACAGAATCTTCTGATCCCATATGCATGTCAGTGGTCATCAGATCGAAGAAATTGTATCTGAACTTTGAAGCCCCAAAGCTATGAGAAAGCTTTTTCTGCATTGGAAGCAGCGTAAGTCATTAACTTGAGTATAGCGAGTCAATCAGCCTTAGATATTTAAAGTCGTATTCACATAATTGGTGTAATTCCTCTACAAGACACTTTCTCCTAAGCCACACTCTAGAGTGATGAAGCTGTGGTTTTTGATGGATGGTTTGATTATGATGTGGGGTGAATGAGGGGTGTCCTTACCTCCTCCAGTCTGCTTGCAAATCCTAAATATTCTCCTTCTACTGCTGGGAATTCTTTTGAGGGACTATTATGAAAAACAAAATGCCTCATCCAGGAAGAATGTTTTCTGCTGAAACTCAAATGCTACCATTGGTTGTCTTTAGCTTGTTTTCTAATATGTATTAGCTTTGTAAGGCGTTGAGAAACCTGATGAACAATTATGAAAACAACCCATATTGATTGTTAATTTAAGTGCTCAGTTTGTTGTTTTTCCCTTATCAATCATGAGAATTGATTGAATAGGATGACAGTTCCTCTTATGTGCACATGATGCGTGGAAAAGGAACATTAGCAGGAAGTAAATAGGATTGAAAGATCAGAAAGTTGAGACAACAAGAAACCAAACAAAAACATTAATTTGCTTTTGAGGATGAACTGGTTATCGTCTCGAAGAATCTTCTAATTATTTCCTATGCAAGGTCCATTTGGTGGAAACCCGGGATAGGTGTTTGTATTTTTTCGTCGACAAATCATCTTTTACCTACCCAGCTTTTCAACAATGCTTTAACTGATTTCTTATGGATTTCTTGAACTGTCTGGTTGTTGTATTTGACAGGAAAAATTCAGCTATCAGTGATCTTATGTCTGGCTTCTGAAAATGGTGATTTTGATGGAATTCCATGTGACGTGAAGGATGTAATTAATTCTTATCAGTTGAGTCCTTTTGTGGCAAAAGTGGGTTATTTTCTTGTTAGCATTTCATGTTGATTTTCCCATATTTTACATTATCTTCAATAACTTGTAGAGAGAACCATAAGCAGTTTTGACAAGTTATGGTATCCGTGAGTGGTGATGTTTACTTTCGGAGCATCTTACATTACCATTAACCGCTAGCGCATTTGACATCTGTTCATGCCTTTTCTCTTCTCACATGTAGCAAGTTCTAGAAAAATTTTATTTCACGAATTCTCCCTCAGTTATGTTTTGACGGGACATCTCATTTAAGTAACTAATGCATATCCGTTGATAAGTCTGCATCAAACTGTCGTTTAGCTGAAAAGAGTTTGTTCGCAATGATCTCCTTTCTGCTGCTTTAGGAGGTATAGTTGTGTTTATGACCAAAGTGGACAATTATGGGCTTCGCTTGGGAATTTCTTTTGGTCTTTGTAGGTTTTTTTTCAATGCTTTATAGGTTATTATGCCAAAGAGAGCTTCTTGGTATTGGTTGTCATATACTAATATTGTTTGCTCTATTATGTCCGCATCCAGTGAACTGTACTTTCAAGTGAATGAATAGTCGGAACATCTTTACTGGTTCATCGTTATAAAGCAACAGTAAATACCTGCATTGTCAATGGCATTAGATACTGTAACATAGCACTTCAGTGACTGGATAGGATGTCACTGTATATGTAGATCAATTTGGCTTTCAAACCTAAATGAAATTTCCATCTCTTGAATAATTTGTCATTTTTCTTTTTCATCATGTAAATTGTTTGTTTAAGTTCATTATGGCATGAAAAGAAGCCATGTTTATAGCCTGGAATAAAGACGGTTTAGGATATACCATATCCTATCTCATGTTAAGGTAAAAGTGTGAATCCTTCTCAAATTTTTCAAAGTGCACAGATTATTTGATATTAAGAAAGTCTATTAGTAGTAAATAAAATTTTAATGCTTTATCTGCTGCATATCATGCTTATCTCAACCTGTATATATTTGTAATTCAAACATGCTTGTAAGAAGATATACTACATAAGAACTCCTGTAACATGTAGCCAGAAATGGCATTGTTTCACTTCATTATGTGATGGCAAAGTGGGATTTTGTTCTTTGTACTTATTCGTGCTAATTTGCGATAGGTCTGCAAATATGCTGCATCATCAAAGGAAGAGTGGGTAGAACAGTGCAAGCTATGGCCCACCTCATACCATCCACCAACCTAGTACGTCTCTTTTAAATTTTCCCATCAGTAGCAGTAATGCAAGTTCATGTCTTAAGAAGAACATTTTGACATCATGTTTTAGGACATTTTTGCAGGCTTAGGGTATTTGCATCAGCATGTGCAGGTGTCTCTGATTCTAATGTTGTGTCTAAGTAAGCAGCAGGTTAAGGTGGTTTTTCCGGGATAACTTTCTTAGGAATTTCAAGAATCTCTTGGGCAGCTTTCGGTGTTCATTTTATCCTTTTTACCTCTTTCATAATTTATTTCCAAGTAGATAAGTTGGAAGTTGGAGTCTGAAAACCAAATACTTACAAAAAGTTGCAGTTTCATCTCAAATTTGATGAGCTTTGTTTTTAGAAATTTATGATGTGATTGATTTTACTTCGTTCAGCTGAGTTATATCAGTTTTGGTTGCATCTGGACCAAGAGAAGTTTTGGGTCATAGATAAACGAGAGAAGTTACTCTCAAGGAATAACTGATCAAGCCATCTCCATCATGCATAATGGCTGCTAATGAATCATGACTATATAGACCAAGGGTTGCCTAGTTGGTTGAAAATCACTCTTTTAAAGGCACTAGGCCATGTTTAAGTCTTATTATTCTCCTCTCTCTCCTTTTGCAATCAAACTTAAGCTTCACCACTTTGCATGATGCAATTCAATGGAGTTTGTGCAAATCTTTGTTCTTTTTTTTTGCATGTCCTAATTTTACTTCTTGTCAATGATCACAAGGAACTATCTGTTCCTCTATATTCATGTGTATTATGTGCAGTTATGTCAATACTGATACGTTCTCTTGACTTCTGATTTCCACATAGCAGCAATATCAGTGGCATAACTGGGTTTAGTGAAGAAGACTCACGATCAGTTGTAAGTTTTATGAACTATGCTCTGGAATTGGCGAAATCTCATGGTAATGTGGTAAGTGTTCGGGTATGACATTAACTTGTGATTAATGAATGCAATTTTGTTTGATTCTTCAATTTTGCATCTAATTATTTCTCAGACTAGTGTACATGCTTGATGAGTATCATTTCTAACTGCTCGTGTTTGAACTTTCAACATTTTTCCCATCAAGCCTTAGAGGGTTCACCATAGCTCGCGTTGGCTCATGGGAATCATTTTGGGTTCAGTAACAGGAAGTGAGATTTACCTGTTGTAATCAACTTGACAGGAAAGTGAAGTTTTTATGTGAAAGTCATGTTTATTGACTTTTGTACCAAAATACAAGAAGAAATCTTTTCTATAATAGGGGAAAACAATCCAATCATTTCGAAGGTTGGGTCCTTTAGACAGTTGTCCCTTAAAATGTTCATGCATAGACATAGTAAAATAGAGGTTTTGGGAAGGAATTATAGCACTTCATGTTGCTCCCCAGTTGTGCGTCCAATTTTTGATATATCCTGGCGTATGCACCTCTTATGTTGTGGAAATTGCACAAATTCTGCTTTTGTTACACCCTTCTCTTGTCTACAGGTGGTCAATGCTGCAGCCATTGTAGATCCTCTGTCTAATCAAGTGATTGCAAGGGCATGTGATGAAGTCTGCTCTTGGCATACTCCAAAAACAGAAGTTGGTGCTGAATTTAGTAGTTCCACCAAATCTCCTGCTGACATGACTGGATGGATAAAACATGAATTAGGTCTTCAGCGCTGTTCCTCAGGTGGGCCAGAGCAAGTTGCGACATCCATTTCTTGTCTACATCCTCGGTGGTGGGTAGATGAACAGACTCGCAGGAGCTCTTCATTTTGGCACCCGTTGCGACATGCTGTTATGGTGGCCATTGAATCATCTGCTGCTAGGGACAGATGCTTATTCCCTGATGTGAGATACAAAGATGAAGCTACTAAAGAAGAGTGTATTCTATCTCCTGCAAAGTCTCAAGCAAAAAGACGGAAAACTGATGGCACTGACGTAAGCTTTTCCTTTACATGTGAAGGAAATCCTGGCAAGCCTTTCCAGCATGACAACGGCATCTAAGTGTCATCTGTTTCTTTGTTTTGAAGTGGATGATCGTTTCTCAACATTTGCGAATATCGTCATAGTAGTTCATCTATTATTGCTCAACTCAAACTCCGATTAGCTCTCGGATCGTTGGTTGGGTGCATGTTATAATCATCCCTTAGTCAATTTCATTTTCTCGATAGACTTGCTAATGGTCAACTCTGTATATACGATGATTATTAGGTGAACAACTTTTGATGACAACGTATACTCAACCAATAATACATGCACTGTCCACCAAATAACTAGTCGGCACTAAAGGTGAAATGCTCGAGGATTATTTGGCACTGAACATATGGAACCAACTATTGCATTTGATCCTATAGCTTGATTCTCTGCTTCTTCTTTGCATTTAATCAGACAATATTTCAGCTTGGCACTGACTTCTATATAATTGTGGGAATTCAGGTCGACGATGGTGACAAAAATGATGATGCTCATGGAAATGGTGATCTCTCTAGTAGACCGTATTTGTGCACTGGCAATGACATCTACCTTGTTTGGGAGCCATGCACAATGTAAGTTAAAACAAATCAACTGCAACTGTCTGGTTTGGTGCATGTGCAGGCTATTTGGCTGATTACCCTTTTGCCCAAAATATCTGCGATTCTGCCTCAGACAGTAGTGGTTCTTTGCACATGCACTTTACATTCCTGTCGTCTTTCTAGATTAGATATTTTTCACATTTGAGAGGGAGAGTTGCATTTCATTTGGCACAACAAGCGTTAAAGAGTTGTAGATTTTCTGAAATAGAGTGATGAATTACCTGATATTGAGCTTTGCTGTTACATCTCGTCTTGTTTAAGGTGTGCGATGGCACTTGTGCATCAGAGAATCAGGCGTGTGTTTTACGCTTTTCCAAATCCGAGTGCGGGAGCGTTGGGCAGCGTTCACCGGCTACAGGGCCAAAAAAGCTTGAACCATCACTATGCAGTGTTCAGGGTTGTGATGCCACAGGATATCCTCGACAAAGCAAAAACGTCGATATGTGGGAGCTGAGGATGAGAATGTCGAGTTGAGGATGCCTCAAATTTTGCAGGAAGAAGATCGTAGGAAGATTTGTATTGCATTATTTATCTTCTTGGTCATCAGATTTTGGACTTCTTTTTCGCCTTTCTAATCTTGTTCGAGTTATGTATTGCATTTAGATGTCCATATTTAAGTTAAAGAAATTCCACAGTTATTATGAAGTTGGCCCTCGTGCTGTATTCTTATGAATGAGAGAATGAAATGTACAGAGCAAGGAACTGGAGAGATGGTATTGTAATTGGGACAGAAGCATCTGAAAGACTCGCAAGATGGCTTCGAAGACTAGGAGCGGCAACTTGCGAATATAGGTTTTTGGTTTCGGTAACTATATCGTTTAGGTGATGTGCTCATGTGGGTCAGCCCCCATTATCATGTATGTTACGGCCACTTGACCTTTCTTGAGATGTCTTGTTGAGTTGAAATGTCCACTAGCTTGAAATTGGCTATGGCTTGGGCAAATATCTTCGAAAGACCCAATCTGTAACTTATTCGAAGAGTTCTTGATCTCTGTCCTTCCATTTCCTTGTAACAATGCATCTGTGCTCTTCTAAGATCTTTGAACCATTTGTGAACTCAACGTTCTTATAGCTAGGCAATTTTTGCTGATTATAGCTTGTGTAGGTCAGTCGTTTGACTTAGTTTTGCAATGGCTGGTGAGTTGGTACCGAAGCTTCCCCAAAGCAGCGCTAATTTTCATGAGTCCAATCAGAAGTTATCACAATACAACAATAGATGAATATCACTTATAATTTGAAGCTACAGTAATGGAATCGACAACCCGAGGGTTGAAAAGCCTTTACAACCGAACCGAAAAGGGGAAACAGGACAGACACTACTAATTGAAACAAAGATTGAATTTGCTTGTACTTTTTTTTCAGACTTTGGAACATGTCCTTATTTTTCAAATCTTTACACTCATTTTGCAACCAGCATTAAGAGAGAGAGACTTGGGCAAATTCTATACACAAAAGGGGTCCTTCGAATTTCTCAGCAAAATTCGGCATCGAATACCAGATTTGGCTTTATATCGAGATGTCGAACATGTTCTTCACCAAGTTGTCCATCATCTGATTCGCGACTTCTATGGCACATTGTATGTCCAAACTCCGATTGTCGAACTTGCCATACAATGTGGATGGCGATGGGTTCTTGTTGGTTTTGGGGAGCTTGAGAGGGCAAGAGGACAGGGGAAGAATCGGCAAGTTGTTGCAGTTGCAGATCTCGATCATGTAACCATCCGGGTCATGGAAGAACAGCTGATCGACTTTGATGCCGCCTTCCTCGACGACCGCGGTCACGTACTCGATGTTCATCTCTTCGAGCTTCTTCATCACGAGCTTCATGTCGGCGCACTGGAAGGAGATGTGGTTGTCCTTGGGATTTATCGCCCCTTTCTTTGCCGGAACATCGTCCACTTCAAGCAAGTGGATGCCAATTCCATAGTTGAACAGCCTGAAACGGAGAAGGCCAATCCTATCATCAAATCCGGTCGCACCATCGACTCACGTATCGAACATCTTTCTCGAATTCGACAAATCTTCGCCCGAGAAAAAAATCAATGGAATTCACCATACTATTGTACATGTGAGTTCAAAAAACCTAAACATCTACCTAAACAGAACTGCCACAAAGGAGCTATCAGGTGATGATGGATTGGAGACTTATTCTTGTTCAACTGATTAAAAGGTAAGATTGTAAAGTCAAAAGAGTTGGTGGAAAGTGGACACAATTTGGTTATCCCAAACTTAGGACAATCACCTACCTGCTTTAAAAGCAGGGTCTTGTTAATAAATTTTCCTGAACACCTATGAGGCAAGTAATTGAGAAAAATTTCCACAATCATCATTTTGAAAATTAAATTAACTTTCATTTAATATACTTAACAAATGCATTGAAAGCGCTGGTTTACAACATACTTAAGAATATCAGTTTTATCATAGTGTCTTTTAACTGCTTTGCACCTGAAGCTGGTCTGACCCATCGAGAAACCAATCCTGTTCTCTTTTTCTTTTTCTCTTTTCTTTCCAAGAAAATAGTTTTATAAAAAAAATTTATAAATATCCATAATGATTGTCTCGCCAGCGCACTTGGGGCCCTTTGTCAAATTAAAAAGAGCAAATTAAACAAAGATGATGATGATGATGATGATGATGACGATGATGGTGGTGGTGACATGTGATGGCAAACCCATGTCACCACATGTTTTACTCTTTAGTCACCTTCTTTTCCAAACTACACGGTTCACAAAGCACTTTAGAAAAGGCTGCTACAATAAAGGAAAACAAGATGATCTAGCGCAAGTCAAGTAAAGTTAGGCTAAGATGCACAGCAGGTCCAAGGTGTTTTGATAATGTGGACCACAGGGGAGTAAATTTCTCTTTGGAAGCCCTCAAAAACTATAGGACCACAAAATCAACACAATTCGACACCGAAGCTCGAATCATACTCACGTTTCGTGTCCGATGGGACCGGCCAAACCACGAAGACCGGGGCCGGTACCGCCGGTCCGACCGACGCAGTGCGATCTTCAAAGCACTGATTCGGAGGGGCGAAAAAAAACAGAAAGGGAGGCGCGGGGGCGGGACTTACCAAGCGCCTTCGAAGTTGAAGGAGGAGGGCCGCTTGATGAGGACGAAGCCCAGGACGCGCTCGTAGAAACTCACGGACTCGGCCAGCGACTTGCACACGAACGACACGTGGTTCAGCGACAGCAGCGGCAGCTCCGGCTGCTGCTGCTGCTGATGCCCCGACGACGACGACGAGGAGGGGTACGAGGATTCCGCCAGCCACCTCTGCATCTCCTCCTCCTCCGCGCTCACTATCTCCTTCCCCATCTCTCTCTCTCTCTCTCTGTGTTTTGGAATGTGATGATGGCAAGAGGCGTTGCGAGCTTTGATGAGTGGGAACTGCGAAGAGAATAATGTGAAATGAGTGAGGGGAGGAAGGAGGGTTTATATAATGGCGAGAGAAGAGCGCAAGGCAGGTTTCACGCTTTTGTCCTCTTGAAAATACAGCGAAAATCTCTGTCGTCACCCTCGAAAGAAACAAACAAAAAAAGAAGAAGGAAAAATTACCAAAAAAAAATGTATTTAATAATGCGAGCCCTCTCTTGCAGCATTTTTCATGCCGTGTTTTTATGTTTATAAGTGATAAATTGATAAGGCTTTGCTTCTTCTTCTTTTTTTTAAAATTGAGAATGGGTCGTGAAGAATTTGGTGAGATTAGCTCGCCGGCAGTGGCACGAGGCGGCTCGTCTTTCGTATGCGAGTGAAGATGGGACTTGTTCGAAAATAGAAAACGGAGAAATTAATGCGTTCCGATAGCGAAAGGAGTTTCTTTATTTAATTTTTCTCTCTATTTTTTTTTTTTAAGAAATGTTACCGATTTCACTTTTCCACCCCCAGGTGATAACATGACGGCCCTAATTATATATGTGTATATGTATGATCTAATTATATAAACATGTAAATAAAAGTCGCGAATGCTCGGCGGCCCTTTTGAAAGTCAGGATTCACGCTTGTCCTTTCGAAAATACGGCAAAAATCGCTGTCATCACCCCCAAAAGAAAAAGAAAAGGAAAAATTATGAAAAAAATGTATTTAATAATTCGAGCCCTTTCTTGCAGCATTTTTCATGCCGTTTTTATTTTTATAAGTGATAAATTGATAAGGCTTTGCTTTCTTTTTAAACTGTAAATTGAGAATGAGTCATGAAGAATTAATGCGTTCTGATAGCGAAAGGAGTTTCTTTATTTAATTTTTCTTTTTCTTTTTTTCAGAAATGTTACAGATTTCACTTTTCTACCCCAAATTATAACATGACGGCCCTAATTATTTACGTGTATATGTATGATCTGATTGTATACATGTAAATAAAAGTCGCGAATATTCGACGGCCCTTTCTTTCCGTGGCATCTCTCTTCTTCTTCGAAAGGGAGAGGGAGGTCGAGAATTCGAGTTATGTACCAACGATTTCAACAAGGACAAAGAAGTAAAAACCCAACGGTTCAAAAGTAGGGTTTTTTAAAATTTTCAATTTCAGGTACGCATAATTATGGAGAATTATGTCTATATCCTTGGATCCTCTATATTGGTCAATAAAGAAATCAAAGTGACCCAATAATTCAAACATTAGAAAAAAAAATCTTTTCTTAAGTGGCCTCCAGCTACTAATTACAACATTCTTATTTTTCTTAATCACGAAAATTATCGATGTAAATCAACCTTTTCCGCTTATAATTAAAATAATCACCGTTTGATTATGTTAAACATTCTGAAACATTCTAGTGACCACAACAGTTTTTTGCACAAATTTAATCTTTAAAACATGTGTAACAAAAAAAATATTGTTGGGGTCACGGCGATCAACATCGCTTTCACAATCATTGTACTATTTGGGATACGTGTCACCACGTGCTTTGTCGCTTGGATTGCTCTTGTTCCCCCGCTAAAATGACTCGTTAGTTAAAAAATTATGCAAAAAAAAAAAGTTTATTAATACCGCCGAAAACCTAATATCCGTCGCGATACAAATACCTAAAATTGTTATAGTGTCGAAAAAAATCATAATCCATGCTCACGGCAATGCCGGTATGAAAAAAAAAAAACCCAATTCCTATAGTCATTTTGCACAAAATTCCAATGAAATCATTCCGATCACTTTTTATCGAAAATTGCTGACTCGGCGGTCCAGTCGATATTAGCCATTTTACGCGGGCACACTACTGCATCACGATTTCCAACGAAAATTAACCGGAAGGAAATTTTGCAAGAAGATTTGGAGCCAAATTAACAAAATTGAAAAGTTAAGAACTGAATTGACATTTTTATAAAACGTGTTCGTGACCGATTTGACAATTAACCCCCTTTTTCGTGTCGCCAAAACCTTCAAAATTGTACCAGCGTGACAAAAAATCGGGACATTAGTGTCATTTTGGGGTTTTTTTTAATGGTATTTTCCACACAAAAAAAAGAGAAAAGAAAATAAAGCCATTTGAAATAGCAGGTGAGAACGGAGACAAACGTACGGACAGACAGGGACCGTGGCGATCATCATTATACCGTGTCGGGGTCACACTTATCACTCCCTCCCCCTTTTCACTTTATTATTTATTTATTTTTTATTCTTTCATAATAAAAAAATAAAGTGAGTGTTTTTTGTGAATAATAAATTAATAAATATGCAGTGGTGGCGATCCTATCCACACCGAACGACTCCCTCCTACTACTACACCGGTCTTTTCCAAAGCCACGTGGGGACCGCGTTTTGCCTTCACTTAATTTCGTAACGTTTTTCGCCTGCGACAAAATTGGGACGCGTCGTTTC